TACCAGAAATAGCAAACGGAAACCTCACCAGGTTGTTGGATGATAACAAACTCAAGGGCTCTAATTATGCTGACTGGTTCTGAAACCTTATGCTGGTTCTAATGTCCGAGAAATTGGACAAAATTGCTAAGAACCTTGCTCCGGATCGTCTGGGTGACAGGGCTTCTGAGGCCCGAAGAAGAGAGTATCAAGAATGGGAAGAGAAAAACTCTCTTGCCCGGTGTTATATTATAGCCTCTTTAGACAATCCGATACAATGACAATTTGATAAGATTGAAGTGTCCAAGGATATATTGGATAGTCTGAAGACTATGTATGAAGAGCAGAACCGTTCTACTCGAGAAAAGGTCTTAAAATTGTTTATGACTGCATAAATGACCGAGAACCAACAGGTTCATGACCATTGTCTAAAGTTGATGGTTATATCAATGAAATGGAGGCTCTCGGATCAGGGCTAGATCATGACACCAAAATTGGTGCTGTCCTCAATTCCATACTTCCGTCCTTCAATCAGTTTATCAAGAACTACAACATGAATAAGCTAAATGTTATCCTTTAGGAACTCGACAATATATTGCAGAGGGCTGAAGAACTGATTAGGAAGGATAAGTCGATAGCCATGCTTGTTGAAGGTTGAAAATCGGGCAAGAAAAAGCGGAAGGCTAAAAGGAAGGCTCAGAAGAAGGGTAGCAAAACTAAAAAGCAGAAGAAAGATAAGGCATCTGATGCCTGTCACTTCTGGAAACAGACCGACCACTGGAAGAAGAATTGTCCTCAATATCTGGAGACTAAGAAGCACGGTAATTTTGAATCTTTTATCATAGAGACCAATTTGTTGGTCACTTTTGCTTTCTAGTGTATTGACTTCGGGGCTTCAACTCATGCGTGTAACTCACTGCAGGGGTTCAAAAGGCTATGTAGGTTACTTGTTCTATGATCCAAAAGAGCAAAAGGTGTTTTGCAGTCGAAATGCCCACTTCCTAGAGGAAGATTACATTTTGGATAATCATCATCAGGAAGTTGTTCTTGATAAGGAGAGCCTAGGGGTAGTGGGAGATGATCCACCAGCTCCAGAAAATATTCAACCTAGAAGATCTACCCGGGTTTCCAGGCCTCTAGTTTGTTACGGCTATGACCAAGAAAGTTACTTGGTGGAAGCCATGACCAGTGAGGAGGGTCCCGTGACTTATTCGGAAGCTATGTTGGATATAGATTCCTTGAAGTGGGTAGATGCCATGAGAGCTGAGATGGACTCAATGGAGACCAATGGAATTTGGATTCTAGTAGATCCACCCCCTGGGTAAAGGCAATTGGTTGCAAATGGATCTATAAGGGGAAGAAGGGCCCCGATGGTAAAGTTGAGACTTACAAGGCTCGTCTTGTGGCATAAGGATAGAAAGAGGGAATTGATTATGAGGGAACCTTTTTCGCCTGTGGCCATGCTTAAATCCATTAGGATTCTACTAGCTGTAGCAGCGTACCATGACTACGAAATTTGGCAAATGGATGTCACAACCGTGTTCCTGAATGGAGATCTTACTGAAGATATCTATATGCAGCAACCACAGGGTTTCATAGTTGCAGGTCAGGAACACATGTTATGTAAACTCAACCGATCCATATATGGACTTAAGCAAGCTTCTAGGAGTTGGAACATTCGGTTTGACTCTATCGTCAAACAGTTTGACTTTAAGCAAAATTCGGATGAACCTTGTGTTTACAGGAAGACCAGTGGGGATAAGGTTACGTTCTTGGTTCTGTATGTAGATGACATTCTACTCATTAGGAATGATGTAGGAATGCTAACTACGGTGAAAGTGTGGCTTTCACAGCAATTCTCCATGAAAGATCTTAGAGAAGCCTCCTATATATTGGGTCTTCAACTCTATAGAGATAGGTTGAAGAGGATAATAGGATTATCTCAGTCTGCTTACATTGACAAGATTTTCAAAAGATATAGTATGGAGAGCTCCAAGAAAGAAAATGTTCATTTCAGACACGGGGTCACTCTTTCCAAAGGTATGTCTCCCAAGACTCCCGAAGAGATTGAGGGCATGAAAGAGATTCCTTATGCTTCAGCCGTAGGGAGCATCATGTATGCCATGCTGTGCACTCGTCCTGACATTTCTCAGGCAGTGTGGTAAGCAGATACCAATCTAACCTAGGGCAGGAGCATTGGATCGCTGTGAAAAACATACTAAAATACCTTCGAAGGACAAAAGAGTTTTGTTTGGTATTCGATGGTAGTTCACTATAAATCCAAGGGTATACTGATGCTGATTTCCAATCGGATCCAAATGATAGAAAGTCTACATCTGGTTATATCTTCACGATAGGATCGTGTGCTGTTAGCTGGAAAACCAGCAAACGGGGGTCCACCGCAGATTCCACAACCGAGACCGAGTACATTGCCGCAAGTGAATCTGCCAAGGAAGCTGTTTGGATGAAGTTTATTCAGGAATTAGGAGTAGTTCCATTCAGCACATCACCCATTCCATTGTTGTGTGACAATTCTGGAGCCATTGCTCAGGCTAAGGAGCCACGAGCCCACTTAAAGTTGAAGCACATAGAGAGGAAGTACCATGTACTGTGGGAGATAGTTGGAAGAGGGGATGTCCTGATTAAGAAGGTAGCATCAGCGGAAAATGTAGCAGGCCCATTAACTAAGCCACTGACACAGAAAGTGTTTGAGAAACACATGGAAAGTATGGGATTTCGGCTTGTACTCGATTGGACCTAAGCGAAAGTGGGAGTTGTTAGAAAGTTATGCCCTTAGCTCCAATAAGATTGATGTATCTTTTGACATTTATTGTAAATAAATAAAGTACATAATTGATTCATGTCATTGTGGTATGTTTCTGTGTAATACCCTTAAACTGGACACTTATGAGAGTCGTGTTAGTTTAAAATCTTCACAGCCGTTGGATAGATTTGGGGAGATATATCCTGCCATGGCTGACATTGATGTTTCGCCAAGTTGGTTGGGGTGGCTTGTCTCAACTGATAGGGTGAGACTTGAGGTACATGCAATGTGGGTTTTCTTGAAACCCTAAACCAGACCAAAATTCCAGTATTGCCCTGGACCTTGGAGATAGATGGGCAAAACTGGAATGTTACACCTGACCCCTAGACTCGATTATGGTACTGCACTAGGTGTCGGATCGGGCTGTCTTTGATATGCCAATTAGTGAGATCCTTAGAGGGGGTCAAAACCTAGGTATGTTGGGGCAGTCCGAGAATTCATCTGAGTGGGTGATCATAGTGATAGGATTAGCCCCTTTGTCGGACAAAGTGAATGATCGGGGATGCACTCTCTTTAATGGAAACCTAAATTGCCGGTAGTTGATTTCAACCGTTGAATTTTTTTTTTTTTTTGCAAAATATATTTATATAGAGATATACATATATATATATTATGGTTTCAAAATGTTTTAATTCCCGGGATCCATGTGAGTAGAGAGTGCAACACTGTTCCTTGCAGCCGAGGGAGAGGTCCTCTCTTGTCGGGCAGTGTTTG